TATTTTTCATTCCCCTAAGACTCCCTCTTTGACATACTATTTAGAAGTGTGCTGTCTGCTTTCCATGTGTTCACAGATTTGATTTTTCTGTTATCTTTCTGTTATCCATTTTAGCTTGATTACATCATTTGTCAAAAACTACTCCATATGATTTCAATTCTTTAAACTGTTTGCTTTATAGCTATCTTGGTATGTGTTCCTTAAGTGCTTGAGAAGAATGAGTTTTCTATTGGTGGTGAAGGGTTAGTAAATGTTGAACAGATCTTGTTACTTAATAGCATGGTGATAATCTCTCATGTTTGCTGATTCTCGTTCTGGAACTTTCAGTTTTATCAGGCTTTTGCTTCATGTATTTTATACCTCTGTTGTTTAGTGTACACCTCTCTAGAATTGCTATATCTTCTTGGTGGACTGACCCTTTTGTTATTATGCAGAGTCACTGTCTGTGCCTCATAATGTTTTTTGCTCTGAAGTCTACTGTATTGGTATTAATATTGCCACTGCTGCTTTTTCCACTATTCATTATAGAACATGTATACATGCACAAGAGAGACAGAAAGACAAAAAAAGAAAAAAGAGAGGGGGCATCCACCACACCATCATCTCCTTCCTCTAGTCCTCCAACCTACTAGATGTTGAGTATTTGTGTGCATGCCTAGTGTTTCCAGCTGACCTGGCTGGGAATGTGAACCACAGTCAACATGAGGGCTCTGCCTTCTCTTGAGTAGCACATTACCACTGCACTATGAAGCCAGTCTGCCAATGCTACTGTCTTTACATTAGAGCGTGTATGATACATCTATTTCCAGCCTTTTTATTTATCTGCATTGTTATATTTGAAGATTTTCTTATAAATAGCATATAAGTGGGAAATTAAAAATAAAATCTACCCTTGGGAACCAGCAGTTAGTGTAATGGCTATGTCGCTGGACTCCCACGTAGTCAACTGCAGATCGCGTCCCAGACCTGGTGGCTTAGAACTCACGCCGGGCGCGCGTGTGTGCATGCCCAAGATCCCGAGAGGAGAATGGAGGAGAAGGGATTGTGGCGTGCCCATCCCCCCTGGGGGGTGATTTCTGGCTCTCTGTCTCTATGTCTCTCTCTGTCTGTCTGGTGAGCGCACGCGCCCTATAGCGAAAACCTCTCCCCCCCAAAAAAATAAAATTAAAAAAATAAAAATAAAAATAAAATCTACCCTTGACCTTTTTAATTGGTGCTCCATTTAAATGACATTTAATAAAAATCTGCCATTTGTGTTTTCTGATCTCTGTTGATTCTCCATTTTCTTTGCTTTACTTGAACATTTTTTAGACTTCATTTAGACTTATATATATACAACTTATCATAATCTACTGGGGTAGGCATCTCATCAGTTCAATTCTAAAAACCTTACCTCTCTTTTTATCTCACCCCCTTGTTTACAATTGTTTGAAATAATTCTTCTAAATGCATGGAGAACCATATTAGACAATTTATGCTTTGATTGTCAAACAGGAAGAAAATCAAGATGCATCCTGTTATTTACTCATCTTTTATTATTATTATCCATGGTAGAGCATGTACATGTAAGACAGAGAGAAAGAAGCACCCTCTGCAAGGTCCAGTCACCATAATCCCATTCCTCCAGTTCACATGTACATAACCTTAGGTGTTCACATGTACATGCCCAGTGTGTTTCAGGCCAACTGGGCCAGCAATCGAAACCACAGTTGCCATGAACCACAGTTGCCATGGGGGATCCAGCTTCTCCTGGGCAGCACATTATCACTGCACCATGGAGTCAGCCTTGTTTATTCATCTTTTACTATTTTTCTTTCTTTCTTTTTTTTCCTGATAATTAAAGATTCCTTCTTTCATCACTTCATTTTCATTAAGAGAATTTTCTTTAGCAATTCTTTTAGGAAAGGTGAGCTGGAGATATATTCTCTGTTTTTTTCTTCTCATTTGGAAAGGATGTTTTCATTGTACGTAGAATTTGGCTTGATAGGTGTGTTTTGGTTTTGTTTTTGTTTTTAAGTGCTTGAAAAATATTTTGTTTTGGACCAGCCACATACCTAATGGCTAAAGGGGCCCAGATCCCCCATAGTTTGAATCCTGGCTCTGGCAGCTTGAAAAACAAACTGGGTGCCTGTCATGCATGTCCAGAATCTCAACAAAATGGAGAAATGGGAGAAGGGATTGTAGTGTGAACACATTCCATGGGGTCGAAGAGCTTTGTTTCTTTCTCTTCCTCTTAGTTTTTCTCTGGCAAGCACACACATCCTCTAACAGTTAAAAAAAGAAAAATATTATTATTTCCTTCTGGTCTCCTTAGTTTCTGGGAAGAAATTTACTGTCATAGATATCCTCTAGTTAAGAGATCTCTAGCTGGGGCTGGCAGGTGGCGTGGTGGTTAAGGGCACTGGACTCCATGGTTCGAGTTCTGGACCTGGCAGCTTGCTTTCTCTCTCTCTCTCTTTCTCTGGTCAAATTAAAAGTAAATAAACAAACAAACAAACAAACAAAGTTAATAAATAAAAAATAATTCTTAAAAACTATCTCTTGCTATATTTAAGATTTCTTCTTTGTCATCAGTTTTGGAAATCTGAGTATTGGGTCTTGATATGGGCACCTTTGGGTTCATTCTTTTCCAGTTCACTAAGCTCCTTATAGGTTCTTTTGTTTAAAAATTCATGTCTTTGACCAAATGTGCAGAGTTTTCCGCCATCATTTTTTTCCACTCCCTTTCTTCTCTCCTTCAGTAATTCCAATGACACTAATGTTAGTACATTACTGTTACAGTTCTATAGGTTCCCGAGGTTCTATCATTTTTCTTCAGACTATTTTCTCACTGTTCAGACTGGCTAGATTCTATTATCCTATTTTAAACTTCTTCGATTCTTTACATTTCCTCTGCTGCTGAGACTACGCATTGAGATTTTTATTTCAGTTATTGTAACTTTTGGTTGGTTCTATTTTACATCATCTATGTTTTCTATTTTAAAAAAAGATTTATTTATTTTTATTCATTCATTTATTTTAATGTGAGCAGAGAGAGAAAACAGAGAGAGAGAGAGTTAGAAAGCAAGCCACCAGGTTCAAGCAGTTGGTCATGTGGGAGTGTCCAGCACCATGCCCCCTGCTGGTCCCCTATCTACGTCTTTCTTAAGACCTCTATTTCTTTGCCAAGACTTTGTGTTTTTTACTTTTTAAAAAGAATTATTTATTTAATTCCATTTGTTGTCACTGTTACTATTGTTACTGTTGTTGTTGTTGTTGTTGTTAGTAATTTGACCAGACAGAGAGAGAGAGAGAGAAAGAGAAAAGGAAAGTAAGAAAGCAGCCACCAGGTCCGGGACTTGAACCACAGTTGGCCACGTGGGTATCCAGTGCATTTAACTACCACATCACTTGCCAGCCCTATTTTCACTTGTTTCAAGTATATTTGTAATTGTTCAATGAAACATACTTATGATGGTTCTTTTAAATCCCTGCCAGGTAATATTTATGTCATCTTAATGCCAGCATCTACTTATCAACTTTTTCATTCTAGTTAAGATTTTCCTAGTTCTAACTATGAGGAGTAATTTTCTATTCAAACCTAGACATTTGAGGTATGATCTTACAATACCTTGCATCTTTTTTTTTTTTTAAGAGGTTTTTTTGCTATAGGGCACATGTGCTCACCAGACAGAGAGAGACAGAGAGACAGAAAGCGAGAAATCACCCCCGAGGGGGGATGGCCACTCCACAATCTCTTCTCCTTCATTCTCCTTTCGGGATCTGGGCATGCATGCACACGTGCCCGGCGTGAGTTTAAGCCACCAGGTGCGGGACTCAAACTGTGGTTGGCTACATGGGAGTCCAGCGGCATAGCCATTATGCTAACTGCTGGTCCCAATACCTTGCATCTTTTCAAATCTTCTGTTTTAGAAGGATTTCTCTGTCACTATTCTGGGGGCTCTAAGACAGTACTACTTCACTTCTGCTAGGAGGAATTAGAAGTCCAAGTTTTTTACTCAGTCTCTGATGATATATGAAGTAGAGAAGCAGATCCCTCTGATCTCTGAGTAGAAGTAGGAGTTCTGGTATACCACTAGACTTCCCCTGATATTAAAATTAAGATCTCCTTCTCTGTCTCAAATTTGGAAAGATGAATAACTTAAATCTAAAATACTTGAATTTTATATGTATTTTAGAAATGAAATAAAAAGTAGAGGATATGCAGAAAACTTCCTTAAACACTCAATGTTAAATATACAGTGTTAAGACTAAGTGCATATTGAGCAATGATAAAATGTTATCCAAATCTTTACAAATGACTTACATATATATCCAAAGCTATAATGAAAGAAAACAAACTACTGACAGATACTATTCCTTAAGGAAACAGAAAAATTAAGACAGCATAAAAATCTAAAAAAAATTAAACGGAACAAAGGAAGTAATACAGTAGGAGGAAGACTAGAATATATTTCTTTTCAAGGGACTCTTCAGACACACAGTATATTTACAAGATGACTAAGAGAAAAGTGTATCACATATTTATAAACCAATATCTGAATCATCAAGTGCTTATATTTGATAATAAAAATTTCTGGTAGTAACCAAGGAAACATGATTAATTCTAAAATCAGTATACTTCTCTTTTGATCACATGAGATTTTAAACATATCAACATGTTCAAATTGTATCCTTCCTTCCTTCTTCGTCATTTTCTGCTATTCCAGATCAATTTCTGATCTCTTATTTCTTTTTTTTTTTCCAACCATTAAGAACCACTGAACTGAAATTTATCCACTAAAATTTCAACAGGGTTGTAGAATAAAATTGCACAAAGGAAACTAAGCATAAACTAATCTGGACTCCTTGAAACTGTAGCTCCAAGGTGAGGATTTCATCCTAATTCTCTGTTTTGTGTTTCAACCTATACAGCTCAAGTGCAATGTTCTTAAAAAAATAAAACAATCTGAAGGTGGACACATTTTCATATAGGAAAATTTCTGATTAGGAAAAAGTACCTCTTCATCCAATTCTTTCATTATCTTGTCTAGTTTTATGTTTGAAGTTCTGTAAAAAACAAAATCAGTATGTATTAGAAAAATGTTTACTTTCTATGGCCCAAAGTTAAACACCCATATTCATGATTTTTCCATTTAACTAGGGTTTCTAAACTTTAGCGTGTGTGTGTGTGTGTGTGTGTGTGTGCATGCATACACATGCACCATGAATATCTTTGATAGTCTGATAAAAGCTATAGTCTTCTTCCAGAATGTTTGTAAAATCATAAAAAAAGTCAATGGATTTCAGATTAAGGAGTCCTAAAGTCCCTCGTGCAATAATACTTGCTACTATATAAAATTAGCCATTTAACCTTTAACACAAGATTAAGTGATACCAATCCGCTTCTCCTCCAGAATCCCCAGGTAAATGACACCACTGGGAATCACTCTTAACTCCTTTTCCTACATCAACTCCTTTTCCTACATTACTCCCACTACTTGAGTAATTGCCAAGTAAAGCTGTACTTTTAATTCAACTTTCCCATGAATTTTTTGAAGTCCCCTTATAGCACAGACATCTTCTAATGTATTCCTGATATGTTTTTGTATCATTTTATTCTCTCTACTTTAACACATACCAGACCTAGTAATAATTACATATTTGTCTTCCTAACTAAATTACAATCGCCTTGTAGATCGGGGCTATATCTTATGTTATTCAGTATTATATTACTGGCAAGCAATTTTGTGACACATAAACTGAACTTTCTGTTGAATGAATGAATGCAATGAAAATTATTTGAATGCAAAGAATTACATAAGAATCAGTCCTGAGTCAATCTATATGTGGAGACAGTGGTGATGAACTTCTATAGAAAATCTTTTACTAGCCTGCCCATTTATTTCAACCAAATTCTTACAGCTCTTCCCTGGAGAAGTACTAGAAGACCAAAAAAAAAAAAAAAAAAAAGCCAACCTTTAAAAACTCTCACTAAAAAATAAATGTAAATAAGTATCATTTCATAATCCTTGGCATTTTATTTATTTTTTAAAGAATTTAAATTTATTACTATTATTACTTAATTTACCAGAGGACATATGCACTCACCAGAGAGAGAGAGAGAGAGAGGAAAAGTGAGTAAGTAACCCACCAGGTCCAGGACTCAAACCCCAGTCGACCATGTGGGAGTCCAGTACCTTAACCACCACACTATCTGCTGGCCTAAGTCCTGTATTTATTTAAAATACTACTCATAAATACAATACATAGCTCTTAAAATTCTACTTCCATAAAGTCTCACATTTTCATGTGATTATTAGCCACTAGGCCTTTCTCATTCCTTCTTTAAATTGATTCCAACATGACTACCAGTTTATAATTTGCCTTTTAATTTTATTTAAATATTTTTTGGGTGGAGAAATTTCTCAATATTTATATAATAGTGTTTACTCATTTCCTCTCTATTTCCTTATTTTATACTTAGAAATTAATCACTGGGACCAGCAGATAGTGTAATGGTTATGTTGCTGGACTGACACTAGTTTACCATGGTTCAAGTTCTGGACCCACTGGCTTAAACCCCACTCCAGGCACGAGTGCATGCATGCCCAAGATCCTGAAGGGAGAATGGAGGAGAAGGGACTACAGAGTGGTCATCCCCCCAGGGGGCTAATTTGTTGTTTTCTGTGGCACTGGCAAGTGCACACACCCTACAGCAAAAATATCTCTCAGAAAAAAGAAAAACTTAAAATTTCATTCGAAATCCTGGGATTAGTTAATGCACCTGCTTTAAAAAAAAAATGTTCAGGGGCTGAAAGGTAGCCTGGTGGATGGGACTCTGGACTCTCACGTGGCCAACTGCAGTTCAAGTCCCGGATCTGGCAGCTGACTTTTTCAATCTCAGTTTCCCTTTCTCTTTCTCTGGTCAAATTTTAAAAATAATAATAACAAGGGGCCAACAAGTGGCATGGTGGTTAAGGGTGCTGGACTCCCACATGGCCAACCATGGTTTGAGTCCCAGACCTGTTGGCTTGCTTTCTCACTTTCTCTCTCTCTCTCTTTCCACTTCTCTGGTCAAACCAAATAAGTAAGTAGATAAATAAAGTAAAATAATTGTTTTAAAAATAATAACAAAATCAAATACATAATTCTTTTTTTTTCATTAGTTTTTACTTATCATCTTTCTCTCCCTCTCAAAAAGAACATATAAAGAACACAAGATAGGGGCACAGCAGGCAGTGCAGTGGTTAAGATCCTGGTCTCCTACATGGCTGACTGTGGTTTGAGTCCTGGACCTGGCAGTTTGAAACTCACACCAGGCACATGTGTGTACATGCTCAAAATCCCTAGAAAAGAATGGAGGAGAAGGGAGTACATGTGGTATCCCCCCCGGGGATGATTTCTCACTTTCTCTCTCTCTGTCTCTCCAGTGAGTAAATGTGCCCTGTAGCAAAAATCTCTCCCAAAAAAAAGAAAACAAGACAGTGAGTGTAAAATTATTAGAATTATTAGATGTACTCTTGAAGCTGCTCTAACTTTTTTTCCCATAAAGAACAGAGATTTTATTTTCTTGTAGTGAATCTTTTTTTCCCTCCACATTGTATTGATTCACAAAATACCTTAAACTAAAAATATGGACAAAGCTAGAATCTAGTTACAAGTACACTGTAATTTTCTTCTGAAACATTTTTTAAAAATTAATTTACATTCATTCCCTGATCATCACAGCATACAGAATGTGATTTCCCATTCAGAATAAACTGCATAGTAGCTTAATCATATATGTTATCATCAATAATTTTCCATTTCTAGTTTCATATATATATATATGTGTGTGTGTGTGTGTGTGTGTGTGTGTGTATTTTATCCTTATTTCTGACCCTCTGCCATTCTTTTAAATTCTTTAAAAAATAATAATAGCAAATAAAATTAAATAAAATAATTCTTTTTAAAAAAAGTTTAGGGGCTGGCAAGTGGAGTGGTAGTTAAGGTGCTGGACACCCACATAGCCAGCTATGGTTTGAGTCTCAGACCTTGCAGCTTGCTTCCTCACTTTCTCTCTCTCTGGTCAAAATTAAAAATAACAACAATAACTAAATAATATTAAATTAACACTTTTTTTTAAGTTTACATTATATACTTAGAATTTTTTTGTCTCCTTTCCTGTTTCTCCATGCAGAATTTGGGGCATGCATGCACATGTACTCTATGTGTTTTTCTTTCTTTTTCTATTTTAGAGAGTTTTTTTCATATAGGGTACGTGCACTCGCTGGAGAGAGACATACAGAGACAGAAAGCAAGAAATCACCCCCTAGCGGGGTGGCCACACCGCAATCCCTTCTCCATTCTCCTCTCGGGATTTTGTGCATGCACGCACACACACCTGGCGTGCGTTTTAAACTGCCAGGTCCAAGATTCAAACCACAGTTGATTATGTGCAAGTCCAGCAACATAACCATTAGGCCATTTGCTGCCCTTCCTCCTTTTGAAAAAATAAGTCTGATGAGCTTGCTCTTTAAAAAAAAAAAAAGATTTATTTTATTTTGTTATTATTATTATTATGTTATTTAACTATATATAGACAGAGAGAAAAGGAAAGTGAAATCAAGCCTCCAGGTCTGGGACTTGAACAAGGGTCGACCATGTAGGAGTCCAGCACCTTAACTACGACACCACCTGCCAGCCCCAAACTTGCTCTTTAAAAAAAAATTTTTTTTTTTTGCTTAATTGTATTTATAATTATTTTTTAAATCTGATCAAAGAAGGAGAGAAAGCTGGGAGAGACAGAGAAAGCAGAGAGAATGAAAGAGAGAGAGAGAGAAAGCTGAGAGAGACAGAAAAAGCCAAGAGAGAGCCGCCAGGTCTGGGACTTGAACTACACAGCCAGAAGGGAGTCCAGTGCCTCAACCACCATGCCACCTGCTGGCCCCAACACGTTGCGTATTTTTTCAAGTCACTGGGTCAGTGACTTGATACAGTGTAGTCAGCCATGTGGGACCCGGTCACCTCAAACACCATGGCCCCACTTAGAATTTTACTTGTTTCCTACCCACCCTTGCTTGCCCTGTCAAAAAACTCCCAGTTGACTCAACTCCATTTATTGAATATTTAATCTTTGTTACCTTTGTGTTTTGTTTTTCAAAACTAATCACTAAAAACATAAATAACTATAAAAAGCTTTTTGTTAATAATTAATAAGTAATTCAGTATCATGTTAGGTCATTTAAAATAATCTTGATTTGGCAAGATGGTAGTGTGATGGTTGGAGTGGCTGGATCCCACACAGCTTTCTGTGTGGTTCAAGTGCCAGCTGAGGCAGCTTGAAAAACATATTGGGCTGGGACCAGCAGTTAGCGTAATGGCTATGTCGCTGGGCT